TCACTCTCCCTGGAGCAGATCAGATATGCTAGACAGACTGTGCTGGACAGGCCAGGAGCCTCAGCAGTCCTGCTTAGACCTTTAAAACTATTCCAGAAACTTTGTTGAGAAACGTTTCTGCTAGTGTCTGTCTCTTGGAGTCCTGAACCTTCTTCAACTCATTGCTCTAGAAAAATAAACTATTGGATCATTTAGGTCCTGCCAAGGAGGAAGGAGTCCCATGATCTGTGACCAGAAATCCCCGAGACACATGAAATCACGCTGTTCATGCTGGGGTTTTTTTCTTTATTGATTAAGGTATTACATATGTGTCCTTAGCCCTCCATTGCCCCCCACCCCCTGTCCATGCTGTTTCATTGCTTGGCTTTGAAGTGGAAACTGGGGGCCTATTTCCACAGGAATGAATACAGAAACAGCACCACTTGCAATGCTGCATAGCACCCACCGCAGGGCTGGTACACTTAGCCAGTTGTCTACAAACAGATGTTTTCCTAAATTGCTGCAGGGAACAGCCTTCTGACTACATCTCTGTAAGAGTTTGTGGGATGGTTTCCTGGAAGTGGAATTGCTGGGTACTGATGAACTCCTCCACCCAAGCTCACCACCTGTTCCCCTTTCTCAGAGATAGTGAAGACCCTTGGCAGGGTTGAGTGGGGTTAAGGAATCCCAGAAGATGAGTTTCTAGGACCAAATGCTGTGAATGAGGCTTGCCCCACACCAGGAGCCCACAGCTACTGAGATGGGCACCGTGGCCACCAGCCCAGCCAGCCTGACAGGGACACTGCAGAAACCTCTCCCTCCTTCATTGGCAGAACCCAGTCATCGTTCAACCTGGGGCCTGAAACCAGGGTGTGACAGGCCCAAGACAGACTGGGCAGGGGACTTTACCTTCCAGGGTCTTAAGTATCTAGAGGGAAGTCTGTCCGGCAACCTTATCATGCATCTTCTGTTCTCCCACTTCAGCTCTCAGCCCCCAGCCCTACCCTTCAGGGAGTCAAAAGGAAGTTGATGACTTGTCCTCTGGGGGAATAATAGTATTAGTGAAAAGGTGGCCTCTGGATGCTTCGTCAGCAGATTCAAGGCTTTGGGTTAAATAATCCTTTGGCATCTGCCCCAGTAGCTGGTGGCCACAGATAGGTGACACTCCCCTGCCCCAGTCCTGCTGGCTGTCATCCTTTCTGGCTGCATAGTCACGGTTCTGGCTGGGCCTGACCTGCCAAAGAACCGAGGGCCAGGGGCTGAGAGGACCTCAGCAAGGATCAAAATGATTGAGGGGTTAACAGAATAAAATCAAAATAAACAGAGTAAGCTGGGGCAGGTCAAGCACTGCAGGCATCTTTATTTTCAATGGATTTATTTTTTGCCATCCTAAAGTAATACATGTCCACTATAGAATAGCAAGAGAATACAGACAAGTTAAAAACAGATTCCTGACTATTATATGCCTTTTGACCACATATCAAGATGACCTGAACTCTGAACCTGGTCCCTGGAATCTTTCATCTGGACTGAGGAGAGAAAGTTGGCTTGGAGTGAGGTCGAATGCTAAGGACAAGACCTGCCCTGAAGAGGCCTCTGCAGGGAGAGCAGATGGACTGAGGCAGGCCTGGTGCCCTGGAGGAGGCAAGCTCTGAATAGACCTGGCGGATGGAGCAGCAGAGAAAAGGCTGCCAGGTCCTGCCTGGAGGACCCTTCTCTGACGCCTTCAACTCGTTCCCTCTGGTCCTTTCCATGCATTTACTGAGAGGAACTGAGCCAGGGAGCAGTCCTGGTATCTACCTTCTCCCAGTATTTGCCTCCCTGCTAAGGGCTTTAGGGAAAATCTGATACCTTTCTACACTGTCCACCTGTAAAGGCTTGCTCTTAAGTTTCTCCCTGAGTCCCTTCCCCCCAATGGTCACCTCCAGCTTCTGCCCTCTGGCCTGCTTCCACCTGCCTCCTCCCTCTCACCTGGGACTGGGCTAATGCCTTTGGTATCAACTCCTTTAATCCTAACACTAGGAAACAAGTTTAGAGATGATGAAATCGAAGCACAGAGAGGCAGAATAATTTGCCCAAGCTCACACAGCCAGAAAGATACTGAACTGTCCTAAGCTCTATGATTCTTCAAGGTGGCCCCTGCTCAGGCCACAGCTGGCCCCTACTCTACTCTGCCACCCTCAGGCTTGCTCAGGTAGCAGGCTGTTGATTCACCACCAGCTTTATCCTCACTCTGTTTGACTCCTTTTTCTTTGTAGCTCCCAATTTTAAAGGGAACTCCTTAAATAATGTTTAAAAATATCTCCTTGATAGGAAAAAGTCTCATTCATGCTTCCTTCCTACAAAGCCCTTAGCTCTGTTTTCTTCCTTCCTTAATGGATCTCTGCTTTCAGTCCCTCCCTCCCACCTGAAAGAACCGCTGGCCAAAGGCACCAGTCACCTCTTGCTGTCCAAGCCCGAGATGGCAGTTTCCTTGGAGAGTGTCTCCATGGAAAGCAGGAGTGTGGGGATCAGACACAGGTTGTAACCTGTCTACATCCCCCATCTCCCCACCACTCAGTAGCTTTGTGGTCTGAAGCAATTGCTTAATGTCTCTGAAACTCAGTCTCTTCCTTTGTGAGGATAACATTTTTAGAGGGTTGCTGTGAGTTTTGAATATGATATTGCAGGTATTTGTATAAGAACTCTCCTGGAATGCTCTTCCACATTTTACTAGTGATACAAATGGCCTCATAGGACACTTGATCTTTCTTTAAGGCTGGGTCAGCCTGTTCTCTAGGATGCCACCATTCTTGAGGCCTCCCCTTCCATCTTCCCATGGCCCGAGCTCCTGATTTTCCCTCTCAGCTCCTTTGCCAGAAGGTCTTCCTAGGCCCTGACCTCCAGGATTAGAGTCTTTTTGTTAACCTTGGGCGCATCCCTCCAGGTGGTCCTTCAGTCCTGGGCTCAGTGCCCATCTCTGTGCAGAAACATGGAGGACATGTTGGTTAGGATCTGTGGTGCTGGTCTCCACACCAGACTCTGTGTGGATCTGTGGCTGGGAACTGGGGACCGAGCCCAAGGCAAGAGTGTGGTAGGAAGTTGCCATGGAAGCTGTGAATGTGTACAAAGAAGGGGGTGAAAAGTCTGCTGGGGCCAATGCGGGGGCACACTGAGGTGATGACAAGTTCAGAGCAGTGAGTTACAGAAGAGTTTTGGAAAAGAAAGACTGGTCAACCAAGTTCAAGGGAGATGCCCTTGGCCTTGGCCTTGGCCATGGAGGTGAGGTGGAGCTGTAGACTTCACAGTGGAGGTCCTGAGGAGCTGCCTGTCAGGACAGGGATGCACAGGGAGGACATAGGCAGAGGCTCAGGTGCAAGGCCTTAGCCTATGGCCTCAATCCTCTGAGGCCCCAAAGAGCAGATTACCCTGAAAAATCCCTCCAGCTGACTTTCCAAATCCCCAGTAGTGCTTCTCTGTCACAGTGAAGGTTAAAGCCACTTACATAGGGCCTTACCCCACCCCACCTGTCCTCCCAGAAGCTTCATACTGTCCCTTCTGCTCCTTAGGCTTTAGGGCTGGGTCTGCCCATTCTCCAGGCTCACCCTAGAGGTGAGCTCAGGTCTGCTGAGGACGGGTGGCCCCTCCAGAACAACCTGGGGCTTTCTGCTTCCTCCTGGGCATGGGGTGGGAGTGAAGGAAAAGGGAGCAGGGAAAGGAAAGGCTATTTCCTGATGATTGCTCTCTGATATCCTCAGTAACCTTGACAACAACAGCATCCATCATTTGTTATCCTATAGGAAGTACCAAGCACTGAAATGCTTCTTACTTAGTGTCCCTTCCTACATACAAGACAGGTACTTTTGTTACCCCACAAGACAGGTACTTTTGTTACCCCTTTTGCAGATGAGGAATCTAGAGCTCAGAAGTTTAAATCATTTGCTCAGGAACACATGGCTGTCCTGTGAGGGAGCAGAGATTTGAACTCTGGTCTGTTTCTGCTCTCTCCACCCTTCCTCTGGGTTCTGTGCTTGGTCCAAGGAGGGAGACTCCTCCTTCTGCCTCCTCCCCTCAGAAGCATCACTGGGCTCAGGCTGGGAAGCCTGGGTCTTGGGCCAGCTGAGAGGCCAGCAAGGAAAAAGTCAGGAAAAGAGGTACGGCCGCCTAAGTGCCTCTAGCCAGGTTCAGGGACTGTGCCCTCATCTCGCCCTGTGGGCCTAGCTCTCCAAGTGGGTAAGAAAAACACCTGCCTTCTCCTCTCTGCTGCCTTGCAGGCTTGAAGGTGACCCTCCACATTGCACCACAGGCCTCCCACCTCCAAGCTAGCCTCAGAGACTCTGTTGGACCCACTCCCTTGTGTGTGAGTGCTGCCTCCATGCTGTGGCCAGGACCTTGGAATCCTGCATCCTCAGCAGTCCCTTAACGAGAGATTGGGGGAGAAATATGAGGGGGGAGGCGGGGGAAGGGAGAGCTGGGCCTACCCAACGAGCACAGGTCCACACACAGCCACACATACTTGTGCGGAAAGCGTCCGGCACCTCAAAAAGGGTCAAGTCCTGGAGACGTTGGATGGCAAGCAGCTTGAGAGCATGGGGCACTGGCAGCTGCGGGCGGGGTGGCGGCAGCAGGGCTGACCAACCCTGGGCGCCTTGATAATGCTGCAGGTGTGGCCGGTCGATCCCCTGTGGAGACAATAAAGATTAAGAGGATCACCAGCTTCACTGCACTGCCCTGGAAGAGAAAGCCTCAGAACCCAGACCTCCTGCTGTGAGAGGAAGTTGGGGCAGCTGCTGAGTCAGACAGTGGGAACAGATAGGCAAGAGGACAAAGAGGAGAGATAGGAGAGAGACAAAGACAAAGGGAGGTCGCCAGGGCCAGGGAAAGGGAGAATTACATAGAAGAGAGAGGGGGCACAAGCAGAGGGGCAGAGTAGAGGTGGAAGCTGATCGGCTCAGTGTCCCAGGAAGCCTCCCTCAGGCAGGAAGGTGGAGGCTGCCCTGGGACCTTCCAGAATTTGGACAGCAGCTCCCTCCAGCTTCCACATGGCTGCAGCTGCACCTACAGCTGTGGCTGCCTCCAGGAAGGAGTCTCCAGGCAGATGGGGCCTGGGAGAGGAGCAAAGAGGTATGGCTTTCCTGAAGGTAAGGTTTGGGCCCTTGCAGAGCAAAGTTTGCACCATGAAAGAAGCCAGAGTGACTCAGGTCCAGCCCCACAGGCTGTGAGCAGGTGTGAGGGAACCTGCTGGAGAACCCAGATCCCAGAAGCATGTGGTCAGTGGAGCCAGGTCAGGACAATTGAGCTGATAGGAAGGAAAAAGAAAGAGCATGCCCTTTAGGGTTTATTGGCGAGATTCCAGTGGTGTTGTCAAGAATGTTTTGTTTTCTGGAGCCACCTGCACAGATGGGGTGGGATGTGGAGGCAGACAGCTTTCACTAGTTGAAAACTGGCCATAGAGGGCTGTGAGAGGGCAGTTGGGTGGGTGCGGTGGGTTGGGGGTGTGTGTAATAGGGGAGATATTTTTCAAAATGGGAAATGGAATGAGGGAGAGAGAGTGGTCCCTGAAGAGGTGGGAGGGGTTGTGTACTCACCCAGCCCCTACCCCTGCCACTCAGGCGTGGGCCCCTCTCTCCAGTGTCGTGTGTGTGGAGACAGCAGCAGTGGGAAGCATTATGGCATCTATGCTTGCAATGGCTGCAGTGGCTTCTTCAAGAGGAGCGTGAGACGGAGGCTCATCTACAGGTGAGGGAGGCTGGGTCCCTGCCAGGAGAGCCCTGCTCCTAACCTAAGGGTCCCTGTGAAGGGGAGGAGAGTTCAGGAAGAAAGTGTCCAAAGCCCACGGTCCAGCACCTGAGCAGGATATGGACACCTGTGGTTCCCATCTGCCTCAGGTGCCAGGTGGGGGCAGGGATGTGCCCAGTGGACAAGGCCCACCGGAACCAGTGCCAGGCATGTCGGCTGAAGAAGTGCTTGCAGGAGGGCATGAACCAGGATGGTGAGTTGGGGAGCCAACTGGAGAGGTGTAACAGAGGGGCTGGGGCACATGGCTGGTGGGTGTCCTAACCCTTCCTGCCTCCTCAGCTGTGCAGAATGAACGCCAGCCACGAAGCACAGCGCAGATCCGCCTGGACAGGGTGGAATCAGGCAGGGAGGCCTGGCTGGAGCCCCTGGTGGCTTCCCTGGCCCCCACAGGGCCCAGCCCACGGAGCCCCACACCTATTTCTGCAGCCAGAGCCCTGGGGCCTGGGGCTGTTACACCTCCAGGGCATCACCAGTTCATGGCCAGCCTTATAACGGCCGAAACCTGTGCTAAACTGGAGCCAGAGGATGGTAAGTGGGAGGATGGCCTATATCCCCACACCCAGGCCTCTGAGCACTCCTGCCTCTTGCTGAGGAGCAGTGGCTTATGTCACAGCTCCTTCCTCCAACAGATGATGAGAACATCGATGTCACCAGCAATGACCCCAAGTTCCCCGCATCTCCACATTCCTCCTGCTCACCCTGTGGTGTGGACAGCATCCATGAGACATCTGCCCGCCTGCTCTTCATGGCTGTCAAGTGGGCCAAGAGCCTGCCTGTGTTCTCCAACCTACCCTTCCGAGATCAGGTATACTCATTGGGTGGTCCCAGGAGTCAGCCAGCTGGGGGCACATCTCCTTTGTGCAGGAGATGACTGGAGGTGCATGTGGCTTGGGGAGGTGATGGCTGGGGATGCACATGCCTGTGAGGCAGGGGTGGTCAGAGGCATAGTCTTAAGTCTGTGATGGTTGGGGTGGCTCATGTCATTGGGTAGAGATTGTGACTGGGTGAGCACCTAGGGGACCATGATGGCGAGGGGCATACAGGAATCAGGGGTTTGAAGGCAATACTATGCCCCTGGTCTGCTTTCCTCCTAGACAAACCTCGGGTCCTACAGGCACTGTGTCACAAGGTGGTCTGCATACCCTGACCAATGTGAGCAGATGGTGCTGGGCTCCCTTGAAGCACAAAGGTCTCTGATTTCAGGTCTTGAGCTTCAGCCCAACCAAGACGCTCTCTGCACTTCTCGTGGGCAAGCAGACCAACCTGTCATGATAAACCTGAGACACACACTGAGGGTCTAAGCCCTGAGTCTAGGTTTAAGCCAGAACCCAGGTTGCATCTCCAAAGTTCACTCAGTGCAGGGTGCTCATGAGCAGTGTCCCCAAAGGTCCAAGCTTTCCACAATGTTCCAGGTGTGGCTCTGGATGGAATCCAGGCAGCCGGGCCCCTGGATGAGTCAGGAGTTGTTCCTGCTCCTCCCGAAGACACTGGGCTGCAGGCTGGTCTGAGGCTGTCTCAGCCAGCACAGTTCCTCCCTCTCTGAGCACAGGTGATCCTACTGGAAGAGGCCTGGAGTGAACTCTTCCTCCTTGGAGCCATCCAGTGGTCTCTGCCTCTGGACAGCTGCCCACTGCTAACCTCAGCTGAAGCCTCAGCTGCTGGCAGCTCCCAGGGCCGGATGGTGCTGGCCAGTGCAGAGATGCACTTCCTGCAGGAAACCATCTCACGGTTCCGGATGTTGGCGGTGGACCCCACAGAGTTTGCTTGCATGAAGGCCCTGGTCCTCTTCAAACCAGGTAGCTGGGTCTTTGTCCAACCAGAGAAATGGTTGGGGATGAAGAATGGGAATTCCAGTGACTACCTTCTGGCTCTCACTTTCCCTGTATCAACCCACATAGACCCATATGTTTGCAGACTTCTTCCCTAGGGGCAGGAGGAGAGAATGCAGGCAGAGCACAGCCTTCCTGGGCCCTGGCTGCCTGTGAGGGGCAGGGAAGGTGGGAGAGGAGCTCACTGCTGCTGCTCCTCTCCAGAAACGCGGGGCCTGAAGGATCCTGAGCATGTGGAGGCCTTGCAGGACCAGTCCCAAGCGATGCTGAGCCAGCACGGCAAGGCCCACCACCCCGGCCAGCCCACGAGGTGACCTGAGCACATGCTTCCCTACACATCTACCCTCACCTCTTCACCCCATGCCCATCTATCTGGTTCCACCTCAGGGCTGCACTACTTACACAGGTCAAGGGTCTCAGTTCAACATATCCAACATGTATTGGGTGCCAGGCACAGTGCCAGGCCCCCAATACATGAGAGTGGGGACCAAAATGTGTAAGACAAAGTTGCAGCCTCCCAAGGATGCCCAGCACAGTGACTACACTGAAGATGAGAACTGGTCAGGTATTGGGGTTGTATGGATCTGAAGGAGGCAGAGACCCATTGAGGGTGGGGTGTATGGCAGTACTGGCAGGGACTCTGTGGAGGCAAGGCTAGGTTTGGAAGGAAGGCTAGCGCCTAAAAAGAGAAATCATGATTTACCAAGGGAGAGAGACAAACTCGGCTCTGTTCTTATGATAAGAGCCCTGTTTGGAAGGTGAAACAGATTGCTTCCAGGGAGAAGGAGGGAGATTAGGCTATAACAGCACTCTGGGGCCAGCCTGTTCAGGACTTTGGATGCCAGCCAAGGCCATATCTGATTTGGTGCAGACTAACGTGGTTGCGAATGCAGAGGCTGCCATCATCCAGGGAAGTCATGGAGTCTGCTCCTTGGGAGTGGAAAGGAGATGACAGATCAGAGAGCCTCTAGAAGCTGGAATGGGTCAGATCTGGCACTTGGATAACATAAGAGGAGCTATTGTGAGAAGCGGTAGTCATGAAATAGAAAGTCAGGGGGCAAAGATAGTTTTGAGGCAGCATAAGGTCTGATGCAAGTATGGAAGGACATTTCCTGGGGATGTCCTTGTATAAGTCAAGTGTTTAGACAATAGCCTGGCCTGGCTGGGTTTGGGGGACAGTAGCTGCAAGCTGAGAGTGTGTGTATGGATGTGAAGGGGGAGAAAGAGGGCATCCAGCCTGTCCCAGCACCAAAGGATACTGCAAGGTTGGAGCACTTGGCCTCCAGGAATCTATTGGTTATTTTAGACCATATTATCTGCATGCTCTTAGGGTTCCCAGCAGTTCTCTCTGAAGAAGTAAGCTAGCATGGACACCCTGGAATCAACCCTAATCTGAAAAATGGTCACAAGAAGAGGTCATTTCCCTTAAAGAAGAATCAAAGTATCCCGGGCCTCACTACATTGCACAGCAATATGTCTGCAGCTTGTATGCACAGCTGTGTAAGGGTGACAATCACACAGCAGACAGCAGAGGCCTCCCAGGCCAAGTTTCTGTTGGAATCAACTTCCAGAAATGTCTGAGCATACTGGTTTTGTATCAAATTTCAAAATTCTGGTTAAGTTCAGTGTTAACTACAGGCAGAACTGAGTATTGAGAGTTCTCTGAGAGCTGCTGGCTGGCACAGTGACCACACTGCAGTGTTGAAAAACTGCAACACCTCGGAAGAAATACAATTCCCATAATAACCCAGTACACACACTGACACTGCAACAAAGCTCACCAAATCCTATCTGCCCTCACTTTGTGTAATTTACTCTGACATTTGTTCTTGTTTTTTTGTTGTTGTTGTTGTTGTTTTTTGTAAAGACTGGTTGTGACCCATTAGTGCAAGGGTGGAGAACATCCGGCAGAGGGCTGAATAAGGCCTGCAAACTCATTTGGTCTGGCCTTGCCAAGGCATTAGGGGTGAGTCAATTAAATTTTTGACCAAACATAGCAGACTAATGTTTAAGTTGATAATTTTGTATGGTCTGTGAATGATGTTATAAATATCCAAATGGCCCTTGGCAGAAAAAGGTTCCCCACCCTTGCAGTAGTGGATCAATTCCTGCTGTGTGGAAAAGAACTTCTCTACTCAACTTCACTTATTTCTTCCTGACCCTCCTTAGATCAGAAACACAGAAGAGGGGAAGGCACAGGGAGGGTATATGGCTGCTCTGTGCCACACAGTCACACTCACAGGAGAAAGCAAGTCCTGGAGTTGGCAAAACAAGTTTATAGATGATTGGGAGGTGAGGGAGGCATCCCATAGACTCCATTGAGGAAGCTGAGCAGGGAGTAGCCTCACTTTGGAGTGGCTTCTTCACATTAGTATTGACACCGGCTGTCAGGCCTCCTATCCAAGAAAGTTGACCTCCCTCCCCCCATCTGTCTCTTGGGGCTTCACCATCCACCTTCTGGGCACCGGGGACACTCACTTGTAGTTCTTATTTAAAACTACAATTACTTGTTTTCTGCCGCAAAAATTGATTCTACTTCAGAACATTTTCACTAATGTGTTACTCCATCATCCTGGGTGGCTTACAGAGGGGAATTTTATTCTTTTCAAATGTATATAGTATTAATTACCACAGTAATTATATATATTATTAACATAAAGAACTTCTTATTTTATAATCTTTACACATAATAAACCATTTTCATCCCACTCCTCAACTAAACATATTGTAAAGGGTCCACATGGGTCAGGGGTAGGTAGCAGCAACCCTCTAGGGAGTGGGAACTTTCCTCAAAATTTCTCCCTACTTTCCATGGGCTCCTCCCCTCTCTTCTCCCCTCTGCCTTTCTGGGGGCAGTGCCCCGTTCTTGTGCTCAGACACTGATAATCAAACTGATATGTCCTCTCTCCTGTTCAGGTTTGGGAAATTGCTCCTGCTCCTCCCATCTTTAAGATTTATCACTTCTGAACGCATTGAGCTCCTCTTTTTCCGCAAGACCATAGGGAATACTCCAATGGAGAAGCTCCTCTGTGATATGTTCAAAAACTAATGGAGGTAGAAATAAAATGGATAAACCACCTTGGAAAACAATCTACTGAAGTTGAACATTTGCCTGCCCTGTGACTCAGTAATTCCACCTATGCCTCGCAGAACTGTCCACCAATATATAAGAATATTGATAGCAGCTTTATTCATAATAGCCCAAACTGTACATCAATAGTAGAATAAATTATAGTATAACCATATAGTGAGTAGAAAACAAATAAGAATGAACCACCAATACATGTGAGAACATGGGTAAATTTCACAAACATAAAAGTTGAACAAGAGAAGGGAGGCACAACTTCAGCTTTCACACAGTTCCAGAACAGGCAACACTAACAGGTGGTGACAGAAGTTGGAAGAGTGGTTCTTTTAGGTTGGAGATGGGATGATTGGGAAGGGGTCCATGGGAGCCTTCTGGTGTGTATGAGATGTTCTTTATTTTGATTGGAGGTGGTTTCACAAGTTTATTCATTCATAAAAATTATTTAAGCTGAGCACATTACTGTTTTATGTTAGATCTCAATAAAGAAGTGAAAATACAAAAGCAGAAAACGAATGTGGCAGAGACCTCCCTGTGAGGGCGTGACTGAGGAAGGGGCACAGGGGCCAGAGATCCACTTGGTTTCCACTCCGAGTCAGCACATATGAATTCAAGCTTCTCTCCAGATGGCATCTCACCATCCTATGGCTTCTCTCGATCTTTCTCCTTATCCCTCCTCACCCCTCCATAGGCAAAGATGAGCACCATCCATCTCATAGGCAGGCATGTTTTGTGAAGGGAAATCTCCATCACTTCTTAATTCCTTATGAAAGATGAAGCAGAGACAAACCTCACATCATTTTCAAAGAGACCCAGAAGACCTAGAAAATAATATCATAATAATAAAAAAGCTAACAGAGCCCTGGCCAGTGTATCTCAGTTGATTGGGCATTATCCTATGCACCGAAAGGTTGCTGGTTTGATTCCTGGTTAGGGTATATGCCCAGATTGTGGCCCTGATCCCATGTAGGGGTGTGCATGAGGCAGTTAATTGATGTTTCTCTCTTCCCTCTCCCTCTGTCTATAAAAATTTCTATAAAATATTTTAAAAAATAAATCTAACATATATCAGGCGCTTTTTATAGTAGGCAGTGAGGTGGGCACTGATTTTACATTATTAATAAATCCTCACATGAACTCTGGGGGAGGGACCAATCATTCTCAAATATAAATGAAAAAACTTGAGGCTTAGAGAAGACTCAACTTTTGTGACTCTATTTAGCTCTACTCATCTCTGGCACTGCCTCCTCCTCATGCCCCCTTTACTCTTGGAATCCACTGAACAATCAATTGCATTTTTTGTCTTCAAAGAAGAAATGCTTGAAATGGAAAAGAAAAAGGTCCTATGAGGAATCTGTGAAATCCTTGGGGTTCCCTTGCCCTTTACCCTGTGTACAAATTCTAGCTGACAGAGATATCCTGCCTTGATGAAGAATGGTTCAGAAGACTCTTCTTTGGAAATGACAATAGCTAGATTGGTGCTCAGAGATGAAAAAGCATGGCAAATCCTGTTCAGCTTGAGCCTCTTCTAGCTAAGCAAATTAGTTGAGACTTTATGCTTTTGGAAGCAAAAGCATAAGACTTGCCTTAGTTATTTGGCTCATTTAATGTCTATGCTACAGTGCTACCCAATTCCCTATCAAAAGTTTTATCCATAAGGTTTAAAGACCTATTTTAGAAAGCCTAAGCAAAGGAACTTTCACAAGAAACATAGTTGAAATATGAAGATGTGCACATTTATTCTACACTCTCCCCTTTTCATTGGAAAGGCAACCTGCTGAAGTTCGCAGGCAGTGTCTGGAATGTGTGAGCACAGCAATTCTACATTGGGAGATTGCTTGGGATTTCCAGGAGGAAGTCTTGGAGGACTAGAGGAGGTACATAAGCTGGACTGTCTGTGGTCAACCTGGCATCAATTCCACTCCCTTCTAGTCTTTTGTTCATTGCAGAGATTCCAAAGAACTACATTTCCCATGATCCCTTCCCCCATGGGTTGGTGAAGGAAGAAGGGCACTCACATGGGACTTGGGAAGGTAAGCACAAACTATTTATTCTTCTAAAGCCGTGGCAGCTGGATGTGTGGGAAAATAGAGATTTCCAGAGGCCTTCTTTAGAATTTCAGTGGCTTTCAGGCAAACTATGAAATTTTGACCTTTGGCTGAGATCTTTATCTTCTGCAGGAGCTTCTCTGACCTTTGTCTCCCAGTTCTTCCATTGTGGATCTTAAGCCCCTAATTACTGTATCAAGTCCTTTTCACCTGGAATATATGGAGTAGCTTCTGTTTCCTTAACAATGCAGCTCTCAGAACAGCCCAGCATCTATTCAACCTTTTGCTTTAAATTGGCCCCACTGGAATTCGGATGGGTAACAAATACCTCTTTCATTGCATCCATGGCCTTGCTAGGAGAGGATACTATAAAAGGTTTTGTGCCCTCATTGCCAGACATGTCTTTGGTTATGAAGTCCAAGGTAGTCCTTGTGGCCTCTCTGAGCCGTTTGTTTCAGCTGCAGTTTTCAGATTCGTGAGGCACTTCTCCTCCCCCTTAAGGTAGTATTTAAAGGTAGAACGGGCAGAGAAAGACTCAAAGATGCCAAGAAGCACCCTTCAAATTAATAAATATAGCATGGTAGTGGAAACTGGATATTATAGATGACTAGTCTCCCTCTGTTGGGCATCACTGGTTTTCCCTAGAATGCAAGCTCCACAGGGGCAGGGAGTTTTGTTTTGTTCACCAATGTAGCCCAAGCAGGACCTGGGCAAGATAGAAAAACTAACGTCCAGAAAGGGCAAATGACTTTTCCCAAATTCATGCAATTTAATGGCAGAACAAACATGACAAACTAGAATTGAACTATTGAGCCCTGTATTAGCAGATATTGCTACTTATTTCTGGCCTTTTTGGTGAGTATCCTAAATGTAGGCTCACTACCTGTTCTACCAGCTAGCCCTAAACTGAGTCAGTGAGATCTTGACAGCTAGACGCTAGCACCTATTACAGAAAATGACAGCTTGCATCTCACCTTTACTTGAATTCAGTTGAGTTCCAATAAGGACTACCACTGCACTTTGTCAACTGTGGCCTTGCTCAGTCCTTTCCTTACAAAAAAGAAAAATCACTTAAACAAAAATCATTGTTCCCTGGGATCAAGATGGAGCAAGTTGGGGTGGGAGCCAGGAAGGTCAGAAAACAAACAACACATATTGCTACTTCTGGAAGCTTTTGTTCTTTAATGAGCCATTGGAGTAATTTGTTCATCAAGCTGCTTTTGTGTAGCCATACAGCACATATTTTGAGTGACACAAACTGGACTCTATACAGATATCTTGCTCTCCCAATTCCCCACCCACCCCAAAAAATAGGAAATTACAAAGCGCCTGGTGATTGTATTAGGAATATAATCAGTTCCATGGGTGAGATAAATCATTCTTCTTATAGAATTATTCTGTTTAACAGTAAAATATATTTCACAGGCTATGTCCATTTACAATACATAGTCTTTTAAAAATTTACATTCAGCATACTTATAAATTATTTAAATCCATTAAAATAATATAATAATACTAATCTGTAGTACACACCTTTCCCCTAGTTAAATACAATTATATGATTCAAAAGGTGCAACTTTTATATGACCTAAGAGGACTGATAAATAGGAATTAAGTATGGATGGATAGCAAAGTGATTGGCTTTTCTTTTTTTTTTTTTTTCTTTTTTTTTTTAAGTTACAACCAAGGGACCACAAAAACCTAATAGATCCATGTCCACACTCATCATTTTGCTGTTATTGTTTAACACCAAATCAAACATGGGAATGGTTCCAGAAAAAAAGTGGTAAAAGTATTTTAGGGGGATAGAAAAGACAAAGGACTCCCACAAATACTGAGGAATTTTATAGCCATGGTCAGCATGGTGGTGAGCCACAGGACTGGGGGTTACTAGTGTCACAAAAGTATGGGTGACATAATGCATTTGTCAACACAGAGTGATGCATACCCCATAAGCAGATCCCCATCAAGGGAAAAGAGAGGAAAGAGGATGAGGAAAGCTGCTTGGACTGTGTTTCTCTCTAAAATTAAAACTCTTAGCTTTGAACACATCCTGAGAATACTTTCTTCTCTCTGGCTTACCAAAGTGCTTGTGAAATATACACACTCATTAGTTTTAATTTTAAAAACACTAAGGCCCACAGGCACTGAATGGAGCCTGCAGCATTTGGCTGGACTTACTCTTTTCAGCAGGTTTCTGGGATCCTTTGTCTCCTACAGTAAAAAAACCCTCTCATGATAGAACAGAGAAGTCTCTTCTAACCTCCCAGCAGAGGTTACTGGGAAGCTGTAGCTGGTTTTTGAGGAATGAGAAGGCAGGGCTCTGGTATCCCATTCCCTGACCTGGGCCCCTTGCCTCTGCAAGGCTCCTACAGGGAAGGCGTATCTCCCTTAATGTTTTCAGAAGCCCAGTTAGGGAAAATAATTAAAATGGCAGGAAGTACAAAGTACATGACAAACTAAGCATACCACCCCCCTGAACCTTTCTTATATTTGCTGTGATAGTCATTTGCTTCACTTTGTGGCACCCAATGTGATCCAAATTAGGCTTTTCTGCTGCTATCACATTTTCATCATAAGGGATGTGTTGGTTTTACTGGGGAGAATCGAAATCCAGGTTTTGTTTGGGGCCAGGAATGTGTGATAGAACAGAATGCTTTTCAATCTGGAGTATGGACTCCAAATATGGGGCCATCCTGTTGCTGTCATTCAGGCATTTTCTTTGAGGCATTTGAGATTAAAGTAAACATGCAAAGCAATAGGAAATACAGATGTGACACATGTTAAGGTTAAATATCTTAATCATAACTGGTTGCAATGCATACAGCATCACTTTGTGGTGACTTAACTTAAACCAGGGAGAGAACCAGTTAAGAACAAATGGAAGGAGATAGAGCACTTGGTTCTGACAGTTTT